GAATCGCGACTTGCAGCGTTGTTGCCTTTTTTCGCTGGGTACAAGGCTGCGCTTCTGTGAGGCGGCTTGTGTGACGGACGCCTCTCAGATAAGGGTTGCGAGTACAGCTTCGAACAACTTTGCTTCATTGAGGCGTGCCAGTGGCTCTACTCTCGCTGCGCTTCTGCACTTGCAGAGTGAATTGGTTCCTGCATAGAACATTTTCTAGTAGCGTAGTGTGCTTGTTAGAGGGACTTTCCCTGGATGAGAAATAGCGTCCTTCATGAGAAGGGACTTTCCCTTCCATGCATTGATATCAATCCGACGCTGAGGGCCCTCACTGGCAAGATAATGGGGCTTGTGCTTGGTAAGCTCGTTGTACTTGGGGATGTGGATTTTTTTAGGGGATCACTGGTGGCACTGCTTGTGTGGTATTTATTGGCTATTTTGCGCCTGGTGCGCGTTGGCTTCTGTGGTTCACGCATGTGTTGCACAATTAAAGAGAGTGTTCATGCATGCATAGAAGGCGTCCTGGGCACCAGCGCATGCGGAGTAGCCGGTAGTGCTGGTTGCAGGAAAGTGCGCTGCATTTCCAGAGAAGGTAACTCCTGTCCGTACCAACCACAGTCCTTGGACCGGTGTTCTAGCAGCTGGGAGACTGGAGAGGATGTTAACTGCTTTTTAGAAACTCTAGCCTTAAGCCTTTGGATCTTTCACAGTTCTCTATGCTCTTCAGCTCATATCGAGGACCTTCGCAAAACTGGGCACAGTGCCACAAGGGCATGGGCTGGTGCGGAGTGCGGTGCCCTGTCCCTGGGTTGAAGCTCACCTTGCACGCGTGCTACACGGCCGCCCTACATGCAATAGCGCCCAGGCCTTCTTTTGATTCATTCACTAACTGTCTAGGCAGTTGTTAAACAATTATGTCTCTATCAATAGCCAGCCTATGCAAGGAAAAGTAGACCTACCAGATTCAGACAGATCATGCAGGGTGTCTGAAGCGAAAATCGGCAGCTGTTTGGGAACGTTCCTCTACTGATTTTTGTCCGCATTACATCTCACGATGGTCCTGGGCCAAAATCGAGGACTTTCGCTACAGGGCTTCCACCAGTGGCGCAACTGTGTACGGGGGACTCATGTTGGCAAGTGCATGTTCCGGGCGCAGCCTGCCAGTTCGGTCCAATTAGACATTCGAACCTAGCCATTGCGCGTTAAGAGCAGAAGCTTTCGGGAATAGAGTTTGAGGTGATGGTTTGTTCTGCTGCGGCATATTCCACTATAAATCCACGGGCACACCGCGCGGAGTACGTCCGTGTACATGGAAGCCTCTTCGGGCAAACGCATCGATTTGTCCCATACTTGTGGGGGCTCTGGCTAATAAAAACTTTAGTAGCCGCAGCTATTAATGATCATGAGCACACCCATCGGCGAACCGTGCAGGCGATGCCGCAGCTGCTGAAAATCGTTTTGCACGGGACAACCATTCTAATTATTGGCGCTGAAGATTTCGGTTGCACTACTGCATTGTGTTTGTTTTGCTAGTTTGTTTTAAATGGATAACAAAGTCCTGTATGTGCGGCATTTCAAGGTTCACCCGAACTATCGAGGAGCGGCATGGAACGAGGGGAATACTTACGCTGTGCAGAGCTGCCCATATCCCCAACAAAGGGTTTTATTCGTTCAAATTATAACATCTTTCAACGATAAGCGTAGCGGTTTTCTACCGAGCAAATGTCCACAGCTTTGAAAGTGATTTGTGGGGCCGTTCATTAACAGCCCTCGATGGCCCCATTTTACTCAACTGACCCCGACGGTCCGATGCAGCAGAGTTGATTTTTTTGCCTATCATATAAATTATCCAAAATTATAAGAGCTTCGGTTAGTTTGAGTTCTTTGTTTTAGCTTCAAGGGGCCTTTTGACTATGGCCTGAACTAGCCCCAAGAAGACCCTTGTGTTATAGGTTAGGGTTAGTATATGTATAATACCCTGTGCGAAGTTGTCTTTAGTTGATCGTTTTAAAGTGGTTTGAAAAGGGTGGTGGTCCTTTTTCTGCTAGAGGAGGATCTTCCCGCGATGGAATTTGTCGTTGGGGACCACTCGGGCCTGTGCAAGGAACTCTCTTGGCTGTCCGCCGATACCCGGCGTACGCGCATTATAAAGAGGGCCAAGCAGAGCCGTTCTTTGGCAGTCACCTCACTCTGTTGGGCAGGACCTTCAGGGTAAGTCTGTAGGCAAACAAAAATTTCTCCTGTAGGGTATGACGCTTTGCGGCGCCACTGTAGTTTCCTGCAGATTGTGTGTGAGCGAACCCTCTCAAGCCGGTCTTTGTTTCTAGTGAAGAACAGCCTCAGATTCACAATACTATCCCGATTTCAATGGGAAGAATGACGAAAGATTACGAGCGCAAACAAGAAGTGGAAGGTCTCTACTTAATGCAGCGAAACGGCGTGTGTGTGTTTGCACAGCGGCAGAGAGGTTTCGGAGATTGCCGTTGGTCGTGCATGTGGATCCGTGGAAGCGTTCGCCACCTCGAGTATCGTTTGTGAGGTGCCGTTGCATTCTGCATCTTCTGTGGAAGAGGACTCCCTCAATCTGCCTTTGCGGTCCTTCCAACTGCCGTCAGCACCTGTGGCTCTTTCACTGATCGGGTCGGCAGAGGCACGTGCACACACGCGCTTCCTCCTTTGCAAGTCATGGCTTTCGAGTGGTGTGACAGCAGGCGAAGCTTCGATTCGCAGTGCACTGCTGCCAGCACCCACAGAGGCAAGCGCCGAGGCAGCAGAGGAGTCATCCTGCGGCAGTTGTTCTAGCAGGCTGCTGCTTGCCGTTGGCCAAAAGGGCCACGCCTGCGTAGTGGAGTGGGAGGGATGTTTCAATTGTCGCCTCGTCGAGAGGGCCTGCGAGCCAGAAGGAGGAGCACCATCTCCGGATGAGGGCATTGAGACGGACCTGGCGGACGTGTCAGTGCAGTTTCTTCCCATAGAGAAGAATTCCAATGCTGAACATTGTGCTGTGCATACAGCGAACGAAAGAGACTCGTTTTGCTGCAGAGCCGCATACCTTCTCCCTGGTCCTATCGCCGCCGCCAGTAGCCATCCGATGTGCCACAGTCTACTGGCCTTCGGAGGGAAGGAGAACGACGCGAAGGTTGTGGACCTGGACTATGGAAAGATCCTCTGGGCTGCGAAGAATGTAAAGCCTAGCTTTTTGGGGTTGCGGTGCGACGTAGCGGTGACTCAAATAGAGTGGCTGCTGCCAATACATCCCATGGTGCTGGCTGTGGGCACTGGAAAGGGCGCAATGCGCTTCTATGACTTGCGCTGCCAGCGCCGGCCAGTGCTAGAATTTTGCGAGGCTACGCAGGAGAAACGGCCCGTCACAGCCTTGTGCATCCGCCCCACAGCTGAGGTGTTGCAAAGCAAGACGGACATCCGGGCAGCACTAGCTCGTGCGGCAGAGGCTGCGGCTTCTTGCTCCACCTGCGAACCGAAGGCGAGCCACACATCCTCCATAGCTGTGAATGGGGACGGACGCTTTTCACCGAGAAAGGATTCTCCTGAAGGTTGTAAGAATTGCAGCTGCAAAGATACTGCAGCGACCGAACCAGCCCAGGAATTGCTGGCCTCTTGTAGCGGCAGGGAGTCTGCCACTGTTTACTATGCTGACTCACATGGGATGATCTACGGCATGCGCGTGCATAGCGGTTCTGCCTTGCTGCGTTTGGCTGATAAGGCTTGTCCAAAGTACAACCCTTCATCTTACCGCTCGCTCACTGGCGTCTCAGAGCAAGACCGGCCGCCCGAAGTCAAGAGGAAGCTTATTGCGGCAATGTTAGACAAGCAAAGAGGAAGGCTTTCTTCCAGGAAAAATGATCATCCAGTTTCGACAGCTGCATGCAGTGATTTGCAGCTTGCTGCTGTTTGTTTCGGAGGGTTTAAAGGAGCCATGGGGGCGATTCTCGGTACGGCCTACCTATTTCCTATTGGCGTTAAGGCATTGGGACTCTGCAGCATAGGAGTTTCATGAAAGGTCCATTGCGTGTTTTACCCTGTGCCTTTGCTACAGGCCTACGTCTAGATCCAGCTGGAGAACGTCTTATTGCTGTGGGCCTAGGACGTTATGCCTACGTGTTCAATGCCAAGTCGCGCAAGCTCTGCGAGCAAGTGAGATTCTCTTCGTGTGTTCTTGCTGCGGCTGCTGGAGCCTGCGTGTACGCAACAGAAGTCAAACAAATCACACAAGTGCGTGTTTGCCACGCGATGCAGGTGTTTCTAAAGCAGAAGCTCACGTGTCTCCTAGCTGCAGGGGGGGAATCAGCTGGCGGAATAAGGCAGCGCGCGCCAACGAAGGAACAAACAAAAAGTGAGAATAACAGTGACAGATCAGACGCCAGCGAATCAGAACTAGAAATAGGAAACGATAGTGACAGCGACAATTCAACTGATTCTTCTGCAACTACAGAGGGAGACAGTAGGCAGACAGCTGAGCGCTTCTGCGACCAGAAGCCTTCTGGCGCCTTCCGTGTTACCGGCAAGCGAAAAAATGCGCCGGATAATCAATCAACTAAAAGAAAGCGCGCTAACCAGCCAGCGGCGAATGCTGGGAAGCCCTTCGGCTGAAAGAGAGCCGCATTTGTTATAAGCAGCGTTAAGATTATGTGAACGTTTATGCCTTTGGGGTTTTTCTTTTGTCGTCAGCATGTTCCCTTCTCGAGGTGGGGGCGCTTCAGAAATAGGGGCGATTCAGGCGTGCATGCTAATCTGGGAGCTAGTGGAGGCGACGTGTAATTGCAGCGCTGTATACTAGAGCTAGCGTTCAGCAAACTAACGTATCAAAGTCTCTGACCTTACGCCTGTTGCTTTGCGAAGTACAGAAAGCGACCCTTACGAAATAGGAAGTCAGCTTCTCAGCATGTTCAGAACGTCCTAAGATGTGGGCAAGCAGAAAGCTAGCTCCCTGGTGAAATCATCCCGTCACTTTTACACCTTGACTTGCGTATGTACAGGGCTCTTAGATTAGCATGGCACAGTGGGGGCGGCGGGGCAAGGGCCCTTTTACCATGTAGGCCGAAACTGAAACACGTCGCTTCGTTTAAGACATGTCGCCAACTAGCCCTCAGTAGCTCAGCAAACAGCCCAATATAGTGCACATACGGAAACAAACAGGTACCGTGTCGAGGAAGCTTTAAGGAGCGACTTCCTTGAATGAACCAGCTCAACGCGAGTTCTTGGCGTATAGTGAGGTACTCGTCGGCGGCACACAGAAGACTCTACTTCTTCAAGAGTGGTGCACGCTCGCAAGAAGTACACAGCCATCCGAAGAGGCAAATACGACTGCAGCCGCCGTTACGCGCGTACTGAGATAAGCAGCTTGCAAATGCACCTCAGAAGTAGTCAAATGAGCACACGAGTGTAAACGTCTCACCGAGGTACGCGCGTGCTGAAGCCATCGGGAATTTACAATGAACATGAGAAACGCGTACATGCAGATGCACAAACCAAGTCTAGCCCCCCCGATATGCGAAATGCTGCTCAAGTACGACGTACGAATTGACTGGGCAAGCTCTCGTTGCAACGGGGTCGTCGGATGGTAGGTGGGCGTACTCATACTGGGGCATAAGTTGGCTACTGAAGGTCATGGACACGTTCTTCATGCCGCTATCACGTTGGGCATGCCTGCACGAGGGATTGTCTTGCAGTAGGAACTACGCGAAAGTGCGCTGCAGCACCAAAGGCCCTCTGCCCGCCCCATCCGCCTTCAGCCACTGTGCCAGTATACCCCTAATACCTGGAAAATGAATCAAAGAGCACTTCATTTTTAATGAGTCATGCTTTAACTGGTGCAGCTTACTACTGTCCTGGGGTCCTCGGCTAAGATATACGAGTCTCGTCAGATACGGCGGCCACCGTGCTTCCCACCAGCCCACTGGCATGTCCCCAGACATGCCTCACGCCCGGCAATAAATCCTACAGTTTTGTAATTGACTTAACTTAAGCAAAGACAATGTATAATGCATGGGATGTACACGTTTTCTCCACCGGAAAAGGAACGCCTACCCTTGTTCTTGCTGTGGGGAACAGGTGGGCAAGTGAAGCACGGCGAGAAGCGACGGCGTTATTTCGTCTCATTCGATAACGAGTTCATGGAATTGCTCGACTTTCCCAGAAATAGTACAGTTTTTGCCAATTTTTAATTGTTTTTTGACCACAGCTCGCTAAAGCTCGTCCTTGTTCTTTACGTTGGCCAGCCCCACCGA